GATATTATAAAGCCACGTAAAACTATTAAACTACGAAACTTAATCATCTAAACATTTATTAGAAGTGATCGAAAAACTAAAGCTTCAATATAACTGTTAGTTTGAGCTTCGCTTCCCACCATAGGTCTTAAATAATGGCAGCACCTGTTCGGACGTTAAAGCCGCCCTAAGTAGAGTTAGTCGAGCTCATGTTACCAAAGTAGCACCTGTTACCAAGGTAGCACCTGTTAATACGTGATGTGATAGCAGGGTCATAGTTTATTAAGTAACCGACCGCGTATCTGTGTAAGTGTGTGATTATGTTATAATATTGTAATCACGTGTTGCTAAGTGTTGCTAAGTGTTGATAAGTGTTGCTAAGTGTTAATAAGTGTTGCTAAGTGTTGCTATGTGTTGCTAAGTGTTGCTAAGTGTTGCTAAGTGTTGCTAAGTGTTGCTAAGCGTTGCTAAGTGTTGCTAAGTGAGACCTTTACCGATTGTTGAAATTCATCTACAGTTTTGGCCGAATTTCTGACCCGCAACCAATTAGTCAGTCAACTATAGATAAAAAATGCCACGATTGAGGTGCTGAAAGTTTGATTCGGGTCGGAGGAAGCTCACAGCAGAAATCTTAACAAAACGAAAAGTTGTATTTTCAAAACCCTGTCCCATTTTCAGATATGAAAATTTCTTTACACACATTGGACAGATTGGATGATATTTTTGCCCAGAAACCAATTAGTCAGTTAATTGATGATGGTATGAAACCAAATTGGTGTACTGGAAGTCAAAATCTCAAAAAATTGGAAAATCAAACTGTCCCATACTCTGTCCCATTTTCAGTTTTTTGAAGCTGAAATTTCCAGGGCCGAAATGTTACAGTTTCAGCCGAATTTCTGACCCGCAACCAATCAGTCAACTATAGATGGAAAATGACACGATTGAGGTGCTGGAAGTTTGATTCGGGTCGGAGGAAGCTCACAGCAGAAATCTTAACAAAACGAAAAGTTGTATTTTCAAAACCCTGTCCCATTTTCAAATATGAAAATTTCTGATCAACACACATTTGACAAATTGGATGAAAATTTTGCCAACAAACCAATTAGTCAACTAATTGATGATGGTATGAAACCAAATTGGGGTACTGGAAGTCAAAATCTCAAATAATTGGAAAATAATACTGTCCCATACTCTCTCCCATTTTCAGTTTTTGAAGCTGAAATTTCCAGGGCCGAAATTTTACAGTTTTGACTGAATCTCGTACCTGCAATAAATTAGTCAGTCCCATCTTACTATATATAAAGCGAGACGATACATATCTGTTCCATTTTACTGACACCACGGCATCAACTTTAACGCGACTTTCCGCAAAAACCGTAAAAGATATACAACTGAAACCTTTTTAACTGGGTCAAATGCTTTAATGGCCTCCAAATCAGCATGAAAAAATGAAAAATTGGCCAAGGAATAATGATTTTAGAGCCGAAAATTTGGACCCCCTGGTGGTGTCAAAAATGCCAAATAAATAGGTAATAATTATTTTAGTATCTTGAGTCTTGACACGGGTTCCTGCTAGTTAGTGTAATTTCCGAGTGGCTTTATCAAAAAAACGGTAATAGTTACGGTACTGGTTTTTTCGGTATGGTGCCGAGAAAACTCTGATGAAGTCAAACGGTGAAGGTTTTTTAAATCGGTCGGTGGTAAGTTGTTCAATTGATGGTTTTGTACCACAAATGTACATAAAATGGCTTGAGCAGATTAATCAAGAAAACGGTAAAAGTTACGGGGCTCGCTCTCTCTCCCATTACTGCTTATTAAGTAGTGTTGGTACAAATATCATAATTACACTGACATAAATAATTTAAACTTATTAGGGGAGGGATCGCTGATAGCGGTCTGTTTGGACTGTAGAGAGAGTTCATACTTTCATAAGACAATGTAATCATGTTTTCATATAGGTGGGTGTGGTGCGGAGTGAACAAGGATTAATTTCTATTGATTATTGTTTAAGATACTATTGTTTAAGATGCTATTGGATACGCGAGGGCACTCCGAATAAAATTGCTCACCTAATGCGGGTTTTGACTCAGCGGGTAAATACTCCTACCCTTTTTAACTGCGGCAGTGAAATCCCGGCCGAAGGCCGGGTTACACTATTATACTATATATAGCTATGTGTAAAACTGATTACGGAGGGGGAGTGGGTTAAAAATTGAATACTTAATATGTGAGCAGCCCCCTATCTGATCTAGGTAAGGATGGTAATTTGAGAAAAATCAACAATAAACTATTACAGGTTAGATGTTTACCTGAGTTCTATATCTTTCGATAGCAACTCCATCTATAAATCTGATTAGCAAGTCATTCTGTATTCCACCAGTAATTGTGATCCTGGTTGCAGCTTTCAACATGTTTTATGGGCCCAACACTCAGCTTTCACAGTTTATGACTTCTAGCCTCCTTGCGATGTCGTAGCAGGTATACCATTTCTTGTTGTCGCGGGCTAACCAGATTGTATAGGAACATCGAAGAGCGACCAAAGCAGCCTCATTCAGGGCTTTATTCTTCGTTCTCTTCGCCAATCCAAAGTAGTTGAATAGAGCTGGTACAGTATGGTACCAGAAGCCCCTACACCCAATCTCTACCGTAAAGAGCAGAGCTTTCCAACCGCACCCGTCGATGCCAGGAATCAGCTCTCTGTTGTAGCGTGCTTCTTTACGTACTACTTGGTCACTTCACCCCCTCCTGCCTCCTTGATGACATTAACTTAAACTCTGCAGACTGGGATGCTATTAATGCAGAACTGCTAGAAGTAGACTGGGCTTCTATCACTGACCCAAGCAACGATCAGGATACAGCTTGGACATTGTTTGAAGACAAGGTAGCGTTCATATGCTCTAAGCACGCTCCCTCGCACAGCACTAACATCCAATTGTCCTCACAATCCTCCATTCCCAAGCCCAGAAGGGAACTTATTCGTAAGAAGCGCCGCCTTAATGCCAGGATCAATGCTATAAAGCATGGTGTTAGAACTCCACGGAACAGCACTAAACTCGATAACCTCAACAACGAACGTGCTAACATCGAAATTCTTATGAAGGAAGACATCAAACAAGAACGGCTCCGACAGGAAATTGCTGCGCTAGCTAAGATGAAGATCAATCCCAAGGCGTTTTATTCTTACGCTAAGAAATCAGCTAAGTTCAAGGCGCCTGTTGGACCTCTCGCCGATGATGCTAACAACCTGCAGTGCGATCCCACTGTTATGGGCAACATCCTCCAGAAGCAGTACCAGAAAGCCTTCAGTAACCCTGAAAACGTCAACCCCGATAACACCCCTGACGAAAAAGGGCATACAGAAGAACTCTCCGACATCACCTTCTCGGTTGACGACGTCCTTAGTGCTATCAAGGAAACAGGGAGGTTCTCCGCTCCAGGACCAGACAAGTTCCCTGCTCTCATCTTGCGGGAATGCAAGGACGCTCTAGCTCCCACTATAGCCAAGCTCTGGCAGCTATCTTTTGATACTTCGGACATCGCTGAGATGTTCCGCTCCCAGAGTATCATCCCTATCTTCAAGAAGGGGAGCAAGGCTGTAGCCGCTAACTACAGGCCGGTTTCACTGACTTCTCACCTCATCAAACTCTGTGAACGCATCATGCGCAACCAGATGGTCAGCTTCCTTGAACGCAACAACATGTTCAACCCTGATCAGCACGGTTTCCAAAAAGGCAAGAACTGCCTCACCCAGCTTCTCCATCACATCGAGGATATAATCTGCGATCTCAACCTCGACAAAAATGCTGACGTGCTCTACCTCGACTTCAGCAAAGCCTTTGATAAGGTTGACCACAAGATACTCCTCAAGAAGATTCAGGCCTTTGGTATCCGTGGTAAGCTCTACGACTGGATAGCCAGCTTTCTTACTGGCAGAAAGCAGCATGTTATCGTGGATGGGGTCATGTCCACGATCATCGACGTCATCAGTGGGGTTCCTCAGGGTACTGTCCTAGGTCCCCTTCTCTTCCTCATCTACATTGACGACATCTTCTCCGTAGTCAAGCACAGCAAGATCAAAGTGTTTGCAGATGACTCGAAGCTCCACAAAGATATATCTTCCCATATCGATCGCATCCTTCTCCAAGAAGATCTTCTCTCGGTTGTAAATTGGGCTGATGCTAACAACATGGAGCTTAACGAGGAAAAGTTCCAGCTTCTACAACACGGCAAACTACCGGACTTGAAGCAGCCCTACATCTTACCATCTGGAGAGACTCTTAAGGGCTCTGACCACGTGAAGGACCTGGGTGTCTATATCGACCCAGACCTCAACTGGCGCACTCACATAGCGATGAAGTCTGCCAAAGCCAGAAACATGGCTAGTTGGGTGCTACGCACCTTCATCTCCAGGGATGTAGCGACCATGATGCTCCTGTACAAGTCCTACGTACGATCTCATCTTGAATACTGCTGTCCTCTGTGGTCTCCTCACATGCAGTGCGAAATTATTAAACTCGAAGCAGTTCAACGATCCTTCACTGCTAAAATCCAGGGTCTTGGAAATCTCAACTACTGGGAACGCCTCCGTCGCCTGTCTATGTACTCCCTTCAAAGGCGGCGTGAGAGATACACTATCATCCTAGTTTGGAAGATCTATAACAATCTCGCTCCAAACAGCATGAACATCAACTTCCGCGAGACCTCACGATACGGAACTACGTGTATACGACCACTAGGGTCCTCCAAGTACACAAGTGTCAATAACCTGAGGTTCAACTCCTTTGCCTCTAGAGCCTCTGCACTGTACAACGTGGTCCCTCCCGCCATCAAGTCCCTCCTGACCTTGACCACTTTCAAACCCGCTCTTGATGCTTTCCTCAATGAATTCCCTGACACTCCACCAACACCTGGGTACACTGGACAGAACAGGAACTCAATGCTGGAGTGGGCCGGTGGCACGTGTCTCTGACACGCTACTACATGGCGGTGGAGATGCAAGACATTCTTGGCCTGGTAGCACTCTAGCTCGGAACCCAACCCAAGTAACCCAAGTAAGTAACACTGAAGTTACTCTCGTCACCACAAGTCAGTTCAATCAGAACTACTTCTCTCAAACTATCCGACCATACTACAATGTCGGGTCTCTCCGCTGTGTTGTAGATGTGCTGTGGGAACTGGGCAGGTAGTGTATGCTCGTCCCATATCAGCTTCCAGTCTTTCGCTCTCTCAAAGGGCCTCTCCTTCCTCAACTTTGGCTTTGGGTGTTCATACTTCCCATTCTTTGACTTGAACCGTATCCATTCTTTGTCGGAGGTCGTGGAACCTGAGGAATTGTACATCTTGAGTTGGTCAAGCAAGGCTACGGCTATAACACGTAGGACGTTGTCATGTCTCCAGTTGTACCTTTTGGAGTCTCTTGCTACACTGCAGACGGCTAGGATGTGCTTGATGTTGCACGTCTTCCAACCACAAAGTGTACAATTTCCTGTACTCGAGTAGTTCCACAATTTCATGTTTGCAGGGGTATTAGCCACGTCGTGTGTCGAGTTTAGGTGGAATTTAAGGAGAGCCGGGCTCATCTTGTAGTTGTAGATAAGGCTGTTCCATCCTAAGCCTAACTGCATCGTGTTCTCCCATGTCAAGAACTTGTCCTGTACTCCCTTGTTTACCAGGGTGACTAGCATGTCGTTCTCTGACACCGATTCTACCAGTTGTCTTAGCTTCTGCCTCTCAGTCAACTTTGGTTTGCATCCGAGTCCTACTCGGTCTTTAGTCACTACTCCAACCAACTCCTGGAAGTAAAGATCTCGCTCTCTTGCCGTCAGCTCCGTTGTATAAGACCATCTCAGGCTGTTCTCCTGTTTCTCTCTCTTGTTATTATAAGCTTCTACAACTTTGGTGTCATCACTGTTCTTCAGGGCGTGTCCTTTTGATACCTGAAGAGACTTGTATAAGTCACTCAACTTCTTCAAGTTTAGCCCGAAGTAATCCTTGCCCCTGTACAGGACTGTCACAGTAATTGATCTAGTAAAACCCAACCACTTCTTCAATAATCTGGTGCAGATAGCATCCAGTTCGTACACAAAACTTACAGGAAGGTTGTAAATCATCAGATCCCAGGACATCTTGCTAGTCAGCATGTTATTGTAGATCCAACACTTCATGACACCGTTGAGACCACACTCATCCACTGTCTGAAACAGAGTTTTTAGTTTGTCTTCAATCCTTTGTTTAGTGTCATTTAACCCTAGATCTACATAGATCCAGTGGCCCAGGAACTTAATCGGGTTGTTTCCTACATAGCTGATTATCTGGCCGTCAATCAATATCTCTGGGTCATAAGGCTGGTACGTACCATCTATCACCTTTTGTTTGTTTTGAAACCCCACGGTGGAGGTTGGCGTGTGCCGCAATTTATTGATCAATGGTTATTACATAAATGAAATTATAGAAGTCACACTAAAATATAATAATGTAAAATAAATATATTAAAATAAATGCCCTACTAAAAGTACTATATAACTAACGGTCTGCAAAACTGGTTGAAGTCGCAATTTGTAAACATGCTAATTACTGCATAATGGCAGTGAAATTAAAATGATATGTTGTTGATAAAAGATCATAGTCATTTGTCGCGAGTGATCTTTCTTTACGCGTTGTCGCTTACTAACTCGGTGCTGTAGTCTATTTGCGAGCGCCCTTCTCTTTGAGACTTTCTTAGCCCAGGTATACTATAAAGTAAGAAATTTGGACAATTTTCATCGTCTCCTGAGCTTTGCAGCTTGAGGAGTTCGCGCTTAGCTGAATTTTTAAAGATTTCAATTGAAAAGGTAGAACTTGGAATAGTTATATCCTTACTTTGTTTTGTAATAGAGAGCATGGGTCCTTTGAAGAAAAGAGTATTTCTAAATGTTGGGCCGTTGTAAGTTGTGAACCAAGAAAGGTTATGTTCGTATGTGGAATTATAGGTGGGAATATCGTGAGGGAAAAGTTCTTTGATGGATTTAGGGAGAAGGCTTGGCATGTTCCTTACTTTGTGTAGTAGAATAAGAGCGTTTTTTACAATGACGCTATGGACTGTTAGGATATTATGCAATCTAAACGCACTTTTTGTGTGCTCCGGGGGATTGCCGTCTTTATATCTATAATTTACATATCCTGACATAACAGCTCTAATTCCCTGCTTTTGCTTGGTGAACAGAGATTCAATGTGACATTTTGAGGCAAATCCCCACACTAAAGAACAGAAATTTAGATGGGATTGGATAAGGCTTTGGAAAATGTTTAGGCGGGCTTTGATAGGTAGAAGGTGCTTTAGCTTATACATAACTCCGAGGTAGCGACCCATCTTTATTCTAACGGCCGTAATGTGTTTTTGCCAAGTGAGCTTTTCGTCTAGGATCACTCCTAAAAATCTTGCTTCAGTCTTACGTTCGATTACAGTGTTGTCAATGGACAAATTAAAGCCGCTGAAGTCTATTCTTTTTCTAGTGAAAATCATGAAACACGTCTTTTTTACATTTAAAGATAGCCCATTAACACCTACCCAATCTACAAGACGTGAAATTAGCTGATTAGCTTTTAATTGTATTTCTTCTAGGGTGGTTCCACTAATTAATATGTTTGCGTCGTCGGCATAAAGGATGAACTTTGCAAAATCACTAATTCCAGGTAGGTCGTTTATATAAATTACAAATAAGAGAGGTCCTAAAATGCTACCCTGAGGTACGCCGTAAACTATGGGCATGCTAGAAGAGCAAGTTCCGTTTAAAGTTACGTATTGAGATCGATTACAGAGGTAAGATCTAAACCATTCGTGCGCGACTCCCCTGATCCCATAATGGTCAAGCTTCTCAAGCAAGGTCTCATGATCAAGCACGTCAAAGGCTTTACTGTAATCGAGCAGGAGCAGTAGGGAAATTTGTTTCTTATTCAGAGAGTGTAGTATAGAATTTTGGGCATTGAGCAGTGCATGTTCGCACGATCTTCCTGGCCGAAATCCGTATTGATTTTCGAAAAGAGAATCGTTCTTATCTAAAAATTCTAAAACACGAGCATGCATAAGTTTCTCATAAATTTTCGAGAATGATCCCAAAAGAAAAATCGGCCTATAATTAGCTACTTCTAATTTTGAACCACCTTTGTGGATAGGAACGACTTTCGCAGTTTTTAGAGCATTTGGGAAGGTACCACTGGAGAACGAACAGTTAATGACATTAGCTAGTGCCCTGGTAAAATTTTCGCAGCTGTTTGCAATTTTCAATGGCTCAATTTTACAATCGAGTGTGGACTTGTTTCATTCCCAGGGAGACACACTTGCTAGGCTTGGCCTTCATTTTCCTACTCCAATCCAAAAACTGCTCCATCAACTCTATCTGCTACTTTACCTTCTCTAGTCTGGAGGACATAAGTGTTAGGTCATCTGCAAAAGCCCGATTCGATGTAGGTTGCAAGCTAAAGGAGGGCTTATAACCCAGTTCTTTTTGATCTTATATATTAATCCTGATTTACATAAATTTGTTTCAAATTTCTCAATTTTCTCAATTTTTCACAATGTTTCACTCTCGGTAGATTGGATACAGAATCAATTAGGCAATAGTCCATATTCAAGGCATAAGTAATGTCAGATTTCTCAAGAAATGTTATTAACTGGTTATACCTTGCATGTTGTTATAAACGTTTAGTAGCCATCCTGATCCAGCGTGGAGTGGCTCGGGCAACATATATAACGTTACAGCTACGCCACTGGACAGTGCCGGGACGGTAAGTATGTGTGTCCAATATCCACATCTTGCCTAAACATCCAGTTATCTGATCCTGAACCGGCAAGTTTTAAGTTTACTCTCTAAACCAAAACTACATTTAAATGAAACTAGGTGGTAATCCTGCGCGGTCGATCGCTTATTTCGAGACGTAATACAGCTTAAAAGTTGAAGACAAGTTCAATCAAATGGATCTTTAGACACTTATTCATCTTTCGTGCAATTATCTTGAAGTAAAGTTTTTTAGAATGGAAATACTTTTAGCTTTACTGATGGAAAGTTTCACGATGTTCTAAAGTCAACGTCATCCATTTAAGTGACAAAAGGACGCTACATGTCACAGAATGACTTGATTCTCCGTTAAAAGTAGCCATTAGGTAACTTCATGACCTTAGCAATGTTTATTTCGTGTTTGAAGTAAATTATAAGCTCTCTGTGGAATTTGGCTAAACGTGGTTTTAATTGCCAGAAACACTGTCAAATACGCAAGAGGGCTTGTTTGAAACTGCTTGGCGGATATCCTGCCGCAGCGCAATAATCCCCACAGATTTTAGTGATTTATAACAGAAACGTAGGTTTCCTTCTCAAAACTGCAAATTATTTGAGAAAATTTCATGTTTTGGAGTTCCTTAAATCCACACGAACACAAATATGTAATGAGGTGAGGTGAGACTGACACGATGTACTCTCATCAGAAATTTATCAGAATCTTGCTAGTCCTTTAGCTAAAACTCTGCTCTCTGTACGAAATAAAACGCTTTTTCCCCGCCCAAAGTTCAAGTTTTTGAAATGGATTATTTTTGAAATAGGAATAACTTTTTAATGTTTTAACTTTAACTGTTGCATTCACAAATATCATCAACAGACAGAAACCGACTTCATGTTATAAAAATCAACTACTAAACTGTGATTTCAAAACTTAAGTCTTAAAACTTAGGTTAAACTAAACATAATTTTTTTGTATATTTTAAAGTAATTATTTGCTTTTTTTGGGTTTTTTACTATTAAGGTATCAAACAATATAATGACTAACTTTAACATTAAACTTAACATAATTTTTTTGTATTTTTAAGGTATTAAAGTTTCAAACAATATACATGAAATGAAATGGTTTTAAAACAAGCAAAATATACATTCAATCAAGTGTTGCAATAAGCAGAGCACATTTATTAGGCAGGGTAAACTGTCAAAGTTGTAAAATAGTTAATAATAATATGCAAAATTTCTATTCAGTTGCAGTTAAACTTGAAGCAGCTATACATAAGGAATTAGCGAGCATCAGCTTGTTAAGGACAGCTGGAGTGGGCTCGGTTAGCGAGAATTGCTTTTTACCACTGGGTAAAACGGTGACTCTACCTAAAAGAGAAGCAGCCACAGTGTGGTACTCCTCTTTGTCAGCAAACTCATACCGACTTCCCTTTGGGGAAAGGTAGACAATCTCATAACAAGGCTTGGAACGGTCCTTGTTCAACCGACTGAACCCTGCAGCAGAGCAAACCTTACACTTGCCAGCATTCACTGAAACAATAGTGTATGATATTGAAATTGAAATATGAAGAAGGTTAGGTAACGCATTTTGTAGTTGCTCGTAAACTTAATAAACTAAAAATACAATTACTAACGTATAAAGTATTATACTAAATTCTAATAACATTAATATAGATCTTGTAATCTTTCCTGATTATTGATTATAATTACTTAACTTTATAAAACCAGACAGTTTTAATTTATACAGTCAGCATTGTGCTAATTGATATTTGATTTGAACGAGAAACGTCGTCCTCTTTCCATCGTAACATATTACATACATTTTGATTTACGCCCCATGGTCGCTGAACTGGCAGGAAATATGAGAGGGGGAAGGAAATGTTGAAGAGTATAAGGTAGGTGGGACAGTGGGAGCAGGTGTGAAAACAGATTCACCAGGTGAGAAGGTGAGAGGAGCTGCAGGGTGAGGCTTGTGAGATTCTGGTAGGTGACTGGAGAAGGAACTGGGAGGTAAGCTGGAACTGGAAAGATAGGGGTCATAGAAGTTCAGAGGCTTTCCAAATGTGAGTGGCTTCACGAAAGGTAGAGGCTTAACAAAAATGGGTCCTCCAACACTACCGGTATGAGTCCTCTGATGTTTAACTAGGTTTTGTTTTGAGCTTGCACTGTAGGAACATTCGGAGCATTTATACGGTTTTTCACCGGTATGAGTCCTCTGATGTTTAACTAGGTTTTGTTTTGAGCTTGCACTGTAGGAACATTCAGAGCATTTATACGGTTTTTCACCGGTATGAGTCATCTGATGTATAACCAGGCTTGAGTCCCATCCAGTACTAAAGGAACATTCGGAGCATTTATACGGTTTTTCACCGGTATGGGTCCTCTGATGTTTAACTAGGTATTGTTTTAAGCTTGCACTGTAGGAACATTCGGAGCATTTATACGGTTTTTCACCGGTATGAGTCCTCTGATGTTTAACTAGGTATGATTTTCGGATTGAACTTTAGGAACATTCAGAGCATTTATACGGTTTTTCACTGCTATGAGTCATCTGATGTCCAACCAGGGTTGATTTCCAGCCAGTACTAAAGGAACATTTGGAGCATTTATACGGTTTTTCACCGGTATGAGTCCTCTGATGTTTAACTAGGTTTCGTTTTAAGCTTGCACTGTAGGAACATTCAGAGCATTTAAACGGTTTTTCACTGGTATGATCAGATATATGATGACTGACTAGGTTTCCTTTTCGGCTTGAACTGTAAGAACATTCGGAGCATTTATATGGTTTTTCACCGGTATGAGTCATCTGATGGCGGACTAAGTTTGATTTTACGCTTGCACTGTAGGAACATTCAGAGCATTTATACGGTTTTTCATCGGTATGAGTCCGTTGATGTGAAAATAAAGCTGTTTTTTTGCTTGCATTGAAGGAACATTCAGAGCGAATGTAAGCATTTTTATTAGGATGCACCCACTGGTAGCGAAGCAATGCTGATTCTTGGTTGGGACAATCCAACTGAGACACTGCATTTGAATACACTTCTGATTTAATAAGAAAATTCTCTTCCTCCTTCTTAATCTCTGTCTTGATCAATTCCGGTGAAATACTTTCTTCTTCCATCTTCATCTCATTTTTAAAGTCTGGAGCATTTTGCTGCTCCATTTTACTAAAAAGTTAACGACAGTACAGAAGTTCCGCTTAACAATCGTCACTAGAAAACAAAATTAATACAAGTTCGAGATCTAAATTTCAGTGTAATTATTTGAAGAGCTTTTCGCTTTGGTGACATCAGGAAGAAACAAGCTTTTTAAAAGTGTTGGTAGTAACCCAGAAAATTGAAAAGAAGCGAATATGGTTATTTAATTTGAAACAGGTTCAACTTATTGTTAATAAGGTATTCGGATGCTGATATTATAAAGACACAAAAAAGCTATTAAACTACGAAACTTAATCTCCTTAACATTTATTAGAAGTGATCTGAAAACTGAAGCTTCAGTATAACTGTTAATTTGAGCTTCGCTTCCCACAATACGTTTTAGATAATGGCAGCTCATGTTACAAAGGCAGATCATGTTACCAAGGTAGCTCATGTTACCAAGGTGACACAATATGTCAACACGTTATGTGATAGCAGGGTCATAGTATAAGTAACCGAGGCAACTTGGTCGTTTAGCTCCGGACAGTCTATGCAACGTCTATGCAACGTCCATGCAACAACAAAAGAACCGTCTATGCAACGTCTATGCAACGTCCCTGCACAATGAACACTCTATGCACACTCCCTGCACGGTCAGTCTATGCAACGTCTATGCAACGTCTATGCAACGTCTATGCAACGTCTATGCAACGTCCCTGCACAGTACCATATGAACACCGGCTACTAGCCGGCTACTAGCCACTTTTGTAATAACAGCTCCTCAACTTCACATTACCAACCGGCTACTAACCGGCACTTGAAAAGTGGTCACTAGCCGGCTACTAACCGGCTACTAGCCGGCTAGTGACCACAAAGTGGCTACGAACCGGCTACTAAGCGGTCACTAGCCGGCTATTAGCCGAGCTCTAAAGCAGACCTACTAGTAGCCGGTTCCAAACCGGCTACTAGCCGGCACTTAGAAAGCGGTCACTAGCCGGCTACTAACCGGCTACTAACCGGCTAGTAACCACCAAGTGGCTACTAACCGGCTACTAACTAGCCGGCTCTTAAGCGGACCTACTAGCCGGCACTCGAAAAGCGGTCGCTAGCCGGTTTGGAACCGGCTACTAGTAGGTCCGCTTAAGAGCCGGCTAGTGACCGGTTAGTAGCCGGTTAGTAGCCACTTGGTGGTTACTAGCCGGTTAGTAGCCGGTTAGTAGCCGGCTAGTGACCGCTTTCTAAGTGCCGGCTAGTAGCCGGTTTGGAACCGGCTACTAGTAGGTCTGCTTTAGAGCTCGGCTAATAGCCGGCTAGTGACCGGTTAGTAGCCGGTTAGTAGCCACTTGGTGGTTACTATACTAGCCGGTTAGTAGCCGGTTAGTAGCCGGCTAGTGACCGCTTTTCAAGTGCCGGCTAGTAGCCGGTTTAGAACCGGCTACTAATAGGTCTGCTTTAGAGCTCGGCTAATAGCCGGCTAGTGACCGCTTAGTAGCCGGTTAGTAGCCACTTTGTGGTCACTAGCCGGCTAGTAGCCGGTTAGTAGCCGGCTAGTGACCACTTTTCAAGTGCCGGTTAGTAGCCGGTTGTTAATGTGAAGTTGAGGAGCTGTTATTACAAAAGTGGCTACTAGCCGGCTAGTAGCCGGCTAGTAGCCGGTGTTCATATGGTACTGTGCAGGGACGTTGCATAGACGTTGCATAGACGTTGCATAGACTGACCGTGCAGGGAGTGTGCATAGAGTGTTCATTGTGCAGGGACGTTGCATAGACGTTGCATAGACGGTTCTTTTGTTGTTGCACGGACGTTGCATAGACGTTGCATAGACTGTCCGGAGCTAAACGACCAACTTCCCTAGTTTTTACTAAGTGTTAATTAATCCCCCTCCTACAGGTCCACATATGTGTCCCAGTTCGAAAATCCGCCGATTTTAAGTCTCTCCTTGGTGGGGAGCATTGCATTTTTTGTCTACTTGATTCGAGCTATGTCCCAAGTTAATTCCATCCCTGAAAAGGTATACTCGATAGTTGATAATTATATTTTTGTGATTAATAATTGTGTTTTTTAAATTGTTATTTACAGGCAGCATCATCAAGTTATATATATCAAATATGTTTGCAGATCAGGGCCAGTAGAATTGACCAATAGAATTTGAATTGAATAGTTTTAATAGATAAAATCACAATCATAATTTGCGTGCCCTTCGGGGATGAATATAAATTATCACATTTATATATATACATTGCTTGTGAAATTTTTAAATTGGTGAAATCGCGCATCTCATTGATTTTTTAAAGCCTATCTGTCAAACTTATTCATTATTAATGTTCTTCGCTTCTCCAATATCAGGTTAAAAGATTCAAGCAAGAGGAGGTCAGAGCAGTGGAAGTATTTCTCAAGAGCTCGATAGTTAGTAATTGATATTTCAAGTACATTCAATTATCCCATATAACAATTTGTTTGAGCAGCAGTGGGAAATTTGGACCCAAGTTTTAAAACACTTTTTATCAAACGTAAAATTGAACCAGTAGAAGTTTTTTAGACCTGTAGATTTTTAATGTTAGCTTTTGTATTTCAATCCTGATTTTAGAGATATAATATTTGACATTTGTGGTTTGAATGTTAATTGATTGTATCATTATAAATTTTAACCATATTTAATTGCAGTACTGAGCGCAGTCCAAATTTTAAATGACCCTATAAATTAGTATTAACGAAGTCAGAAATTCAAAATTCAAAATTATAAATTATAAATGATAAATTATTATTAATTATTTGAACGGATATTAATTGAATGCTGGAGGCCCTAGGCCTAGCGTTCATCTTAATGTCCGTTCAAATAATGTTCGTCCGTTTCAGGTCCGTTCAAATTAAAGTCCGTTGAATTTTTTCAAAAATTATTCCACTGAGAACTTATTGTCCAGTATATGACAACTTTTTAATTTCAGATAATTTCAATTTCTATCAGTATCATCGGACTAGACTATATATCATTCTATCATTGGATCAATGAAAAAGAAGTTATTATAAAATTTAAATATTCTAAATATCATGTTATGGCACTTTTGCACTTTCTTTACGGTTCCTCGTTCATTTCTTTGGAGTTACAATTAATATACTTCCACATCTTCTAGATCTCTTATAACTGGTTGTTTATCCAACTCGTAGTTGTAGCGGGTAATGAACGATATCAACTGCTCTACCAGAGATACTAAAATGCCTGAAGTACAACTTGAGCTTTATCTCTAGCCTCAACTTGGCAAAGGCTACCTTCGGTGGTTCATGTCAACGACGATATCTTCTACCATACCAGCCATCTCGATGATTTAGAATTCGAAAACCGGGATATCTTCCGAAGGATGTGGCCGACGTACCTTCATACCTCATCTGCACAGCATTTAACATTTTTAATGCCTAACATCAACGACTGCTTTTCAATTTCTTACTTGTTGTATTGAAAAATTGATTTACAAATTGGGATTTTTAATGGTTTTGTTCGTTCACATAATGTCCGTTCAAAATCAAATAAGGTCCGATAAGGTATGTCGAACATAAATATGTCTCGTAAGGTAGCTGGTTACACCTTGTACATTGTGAAATGTGAAGTTATGTACGTATAACTAACGAATCGATAAAACGGAGTACGGCGGAGACTTGAAGTCGTCTATTCTCGATCAACTTGCCGTAAGGAATCTCCAATACAAAGCCGAACAGCATGAGGTATCTACAATACTTTATCAAACAAAGCTCTGAATCTGCTGTGCCTGTAGCACAGGAGAACGGCACTTTGTCTTCAGCCTGTAGATGCGATAGATTGGTTTATAATTTTTCTTGGGTAATTGCAAATTGTCATTCATTATTATCAGCTGTTTCCTCGTTTTTAAATTGTCATCGTATAGATGTGGATACTGGCGGGGAGGTGATAATTGTTTGTTTACGTTTTAGGAGGCGCCTCTATTCAGCAGGTTGAAGAGGTGATGCAAATTTTGTGTTATAGAACGCTTGTAACACTTGTAACTCCTTCTTGTTACCCCCTTCGAAGGTCCCTAATTATTTTCTGAACGAAAACTTAAAAATAACCGAGAAATCGACCTTCTTATTATCTCATTTTGATGATTATTACTGACCTAAAATTGCACGAAAAATCGATTTAACTTAGTTTCAGAACCTATAAACACTTCCTCATCCCTCAAAATGGATGTTTTATATAGTTAATTTGACCAAAACCCATAATCATGGGTAGAGTGGACCGCTGCCAGTGTCTCTCTTTCCCAAACAAAAGGAAATGATATTAATTTGATTGACCGTTCTCAAATGCAAAATGATACCGAGAATAAAATCGGTCGCTCGCTTTTCCCATTCATTCACGGCTTACGAATTGTAATAAGTTTCGATTGATTACATCAATCAGATGCTGTAAAAATCTCTTTGGGTTGCGTTCGGGTCGATACCTAGTATTTCGGGGTAAGGGTGGTAGTTATTACTTATTGAATTAGCTGAAGTTTATTGAAACTTTATTGCCGAGTACAGCTGCCTTCGGGTAGTTCTTTTTAATGTATTACAATTGTAAATGAATGGGAAAAGCGAGCGACCGATTTCATTCTCGGTATCATTTTGAATTTGAGAACGGTCAATCAAATTAATATCATTTCCTTTTGTTTGGGAAAGAGAGACACTGGCAGCGGTCCACTCTACCCATGATTATGGGTTTTGGTCAAATATCATATATTTTTGATTATAATGTCAGGGTACTTTAATTTTATATAGTTGAAATACAAAATATAAACTGATATCTTCATCAATAAGGAAGAAGTTTCAACGATTTCGAAATTTTTCCTTTAAAAACATTTTCTTGTGTTTAGGTAAGCATATCAGTCGATCACTGACTGAATATGCCACTTTATACTCATTCAAGTTGGCATTAAATTCATATATAATGACATTAAACTGTCGTGGCAAAGCAGAATTTGTTGGAAATCACGAATGAGCAAAATTCTCACCTTTCGCACGTGCAAACTTTGAGCGGTCGTTGCGTGCGCATCCAATACTGAATCGCCGTAAATGTTTTCATGTTGGTGTTTTATATATAGTTTGATAAGCTTGCAAAGTTTCAATGTATTTCAAAAAGAACTGTAATCACAACGGCACTCTATAGTTGACAGAAAATGACGAAAACAGCAATTTTCAGTGATTTTAGCAATTTTCTATAAATTTGGGCGTGTCCCCACGTGTGCAACTTTTCGATTTTCAACTTTAAAACTAGCCTAATGCACAATGTATACCTATAGGAAGCAGAACTGAGCTCCACAACCCAAGGCCTGGCCCAACACCAGAGAATACTAAATCGCAAAATGGACGTTTTTATAAAATAATTCTTCAAAAAAGCACAAACTTCAATGACGAATATCTTTATGAAGGAGCAAGGTAGAAAAACGTTCCGGTAGATTTTCAGAATGCTTAAACAATTATCTAACTTCAATATGTCCTCAAATCTTGAATAAAATTAATTCTTAATGGTGTAAAATCGATTTTAAAAGTGATTACTTTGTCAAAAATCAAGTTTTTAAAACGGTTAACTTGATGACGTCATCAAGGGGTGTTTATGACGTCAAATAATTTTTTTATACAATGTAAACTAAAGTGTAAATAATTATTCGCAAGACCTGTGGTCGGAAATGGCTATATCTTTTATACTTTTGAATCTATGGACACTTAAATACAGGCTATAATTTACTGGCAAAGCGTCTATCCCTGAATATATATGTACTAGTGTAACCCGGCCTACGGCCGGGATTTCACTGCCGCAGTTAAAAAGGGTAGGAGTAATTACCCGCTGAGTCAAAACCCGGATTAGGCGAGCAATTCTATTCGGAGTGCCCTCACGTATCCAATAGTATGCTTAAAAGATAGTAATTCTTAATGAATAATCAATAGAAATTAACCCTTAACACCATGCACCACACCAGCCTATCATATTTGTGAACATGCATTACATTGTCGTATGAAAGTATGAACTCTCTCTACAGTCCAAACAGACCGTTTGAGCACTCCCTCCCCTAATAAGTTTATAGTATTATATGACCATGTAATATATACGCCATGTAATATATACGCTACATATGCAGAGAGAGAGAGAGCTAGCCCCGTAACTCTTGCCGTTCTTCTCAAGCCATTTTATGTAACATATTTTGTGGTACAAAACCATCAATTAAACCACTTACCACCGGCCGATTTTTATAAAATTTGCTTATTGGCTTCGTCAGAGTTTTGTCGGCACTATACCGAAAAAACCAGTCCCGTAACTATTACCGTTTTTTTTGTATAACCGTTCGGAAATTACACACAGACACACACACAGACACACACACAGACACACACACATTCTGGTGTTATTAAGTTGATATCTGTATGTATATGTCCCGACAATCTGTTGTAAAACAGGGGTTCTAGAAAACCCATTTCCCGATGCTCCTGAAACTTGAACCTTTTTTTACAGTCGATTTGGTCAACGTCTAGACGCCCTGCAAAATTTCAGATCTCTAACACAATTTTAACATGGTTTTTAAAGCACCTGAATATGGCGATTTTGGGTTTTTTACCGAATTTCGTATAACATGCTGGCGCGTATTTTGCGCAAATTTCTCAAAAACCTTCACATAACTATTTCTTATTCCTGTCATATTTAAAATTAAATTAGAATGTTTTGAACTTAAATATACCTGCTGAACTACTTTCGATGAGTCTTAATGCTTGAAAAACAATAAAGGGGTATACTAGTAAAGGGGGTAAATAGTAAAGGGGTTAAATAGTAAAGGGGGTAAATAGTAAAGGGGGTAAATAGTAAAGGGGGTAAATAGTAAAGGGGGTAAATAGTAAAGGGGGTAAATAGTAAAGGGGGTAAATAGTAAAGGGGGTAAATAGTAAAGAGGGTAAATAGTATTGTGAATATAAGAGGCACGGTCATGCTTGCCAGCATTGTGATACGAGCAACAAGCAACATATATTTTGATCCTTCTGTTCTACTCATGACCTAGGGCCTAGGGAGTTAAGCTGAAACCGAAAGATCGAGGCAATCCTCACCTTAACTGATTGAACAGGTACTAACACAATTTTCAGATAGAAATGTTTGTTGCAATATGTTTATTGCAGCTTTGCAACTTGAGTGAAGAGCAGAGTACGAAAACTCAAAACACACAGCATGTTAGCAACTCATTTTTGTGACTGTTTCTCACCTACCATTGTGCGAGACATCGATTTAAGTTGGTTTCACAGCCCAACAACACTCAAAATTCATGTTTTACTCAAGCAAAGAACATTTCGATTCTGCAACGAAAGAACAAGGCTATCGTTTCGTTAACAACTCGAACAGGTACTATCACAATTTTCAGTCAAAAGAAACACAATGAAGGTAGGTAACCAACACCATGATATAACAATCATAATAACAACTGAATTAAAGTTTTTTCTGAACGACGGGCAGCCATGCACTCGCCACTCCGTGATCCTGACCGAGCGACCAATTGTAATAGAGGTGTCGTGTCTATCTGTATTTGACCCTCTGTTCAATTTGTTATCTCTACCACAGCTTGGCTCGGCAATTTCAAGGTGCTCATATCTGTACCGCGGTACACACGCCATGATTATGTCATGAACTAGAAATATTTGTACAGAATACAAGTCACATTCACATTTCACATACTTGAATTAACATTTTAACCCTAATTTTGATAGCTTTGAGCAACTAAAGTTCGTGGCTTTCAAGTGTCAAGGTTAAGCCTACAGGAGGACATGACATTTAGGGTTAAGTTTGACCCAATTTCTTGAGCTTACCAGGTTCTACCATGTGTCAGGAGCTGTTGGGACGCTTAATGTAAATAGTCCACCCCGGGTTTGACCAGGTGACATTTAAATCCACCGCTGTAGTATCTGTTGTTATCTATCATACGTTCAATAATCACTGTTCTAATAGTGACCTGTTACTCTGTTCGGCAACTCTTCTGCATCTGCATGAGGTCAAATGAGAAACTGAGAGGGTGCACGTGAACGCTAACAGGGTGCATGTCAGGCGTCAGCACATGACCCATGAAGCAAATTCTTAGTTGCCTGTTTAAATTTCTTCCTCATTTATCGTTTTAGTAAAAAAATTCCTTTTTTAATCAATCTTCAGTCAGAACTTTAAACCAGGGGAATCGATCCATAATTGGCATCCGTACGGCAAATATAAAGTGGTGTGAAGAGTTTATACACACGTTCATCAAGTTATTCTGTTACACACAATGTTTATCTTCTTTGTTAACAATAGCCTCGTGATGCTAAGGAGAATATTTCAACTAATGTTAAGATTCGCTGAGACCTATTGACGGGGCATGTATTACATTTTCTTATTGTCCTGCTGGTTTGTTGACGAACTTTAGTACGTAAATCGTCCGATAGTTAGTGAGAATAGGAGCAATTGGTTTACAATAGCTCAAAGCTATCAAGATAAACCCGAAGTGATTCGATTTCGAATGAAATCTACTGGAAATCCATTCATCACGGCTGTGAATCAAAATAGGATTTATATCGTGGGAATATCTACAGAGGTATGGAACTATGATAATTATGAGAAACCCCGGCACTGGTCATATCCGGCGGTTTTTACATTTACGAGCCGACTATCTCCTAGACAGCTATTGACAGCCTGACAGGGCGGCTCACTCAAATTTGAACTGTGACACGTCCAAATTCCACGTTAAATTGGGTTTAAATGTAGTAACCAGATTCATTATAAATAACATTAATGTCATGATAATCAATAGGACCATCAGCTGGTTAGGTTAGCGTGTACAAAATATGTAATAAATTGTTGGACGTGGGTATGGTGACCAGCCTCACAGAGCTAGCTCTATGAGGCTGGCCAACAAACCAGCAGGACAATAAGAAAATGTAAAACATGCCCCTTCAATTGGTCTCAGTGAATCTTAACATTAGTTGAAATATTCTCCTTAGTATCACGAAGCTATTTATAAGTAGGTGCCCATCCTAACAATGATTTGTGAGAGAGCAGCAGTATTATGAGAACAATAATTTTCTTTACATCCAGCCAGAGAAGCTGTATCAGGTCAGCATCAATAATATGAGACCGGTAATCACTAATCCGTCTGTTCTGATTCATGGCTTAATAGAATAGACGAAAAACTTGTTAGATGATTTAAGGAAAGATTTTGATATCTGACCTCTGCGGGGGTTGAATAATCTAATAATAGTTGCAAAACTCTCTCCTACAGATTGCAAATCTAATTGTCCAGGTAAGAACCATTCCAACTGCTTTCTACTTAATAAAAAACAACGTACTATAAAGCATAAGTTTCCTGCTCATCGATCAATTTCTTTGATAAATTGATTCCACAAATTTCCATAATCTAATATCCGAGCAAGGTACATGTCTCCTGAATTCTTGAATGATGTTCCAAATCTTTTCCTAAATCGAAAAACACATACCTTCGCAGTTCGCTGTGAAGCAAGGGAAATTTTCGTCGATTCATATTTATTAGCACGTCGAGTCCATACGATTCATTGTCCATTAGTTCATTGTTAGCACAGCTGCTGTGTCCAGCTTTATAGGTATTTCGCCATGGGCCTGTATATATTGAGAAACCTGCCTCTGAGGTCTGTATATAAGTGTTACTATTATCAGGGAAAGTAGTTTTCTCGTGCCATTCAACAGACAGAGTGGCCTCACACTCTTGAGTGGCCCTTAGGTTTTCCTGGCTTTAATAGCTTAATTCAAATGCCATCACGTGTGGCTATGTTTAGCTATTTTGCTGATATGCCAACGAAATTAACTTGCTCAAAAGTTTAAAAACATGGTTTAATGAGTGATTATGGTGTGTGTATATCTAAAAATGTCCAGCTTATAAGTATAAGGTGCCCATCCTACTCCTAGCGGTTATTTGTGAGACAGCTTTTCTTTACATCCAGCCAGAGAAGCTGTATCAGGTCATCATATTCATAAAAAAGGTATGAGACCGGTAATCACTATTCGGAATCCGTCTATTCATTCTATAGAATAGACAGAAAACTTGCTGGATAATTTACGGAAAGATTTTAATATCTGACCTCTGGGGGTTGAATAATCTAATAATAGTTGCAAAACTCTCTCCTCATGTAGATTGCAAATCTGATTGTCCAGGTAACAACCATTCCAACTGCTTAATAAAAAACAACGTACTATAAAGTATAAGTTTCCTGGTCATCAATCCATTTATTTGATAAATGGATTCCACAAATTTCCATAATCTAATATCCGAGCAAGGTTAAATATGTCTCCTGAATTCTTGAATGATGTTCCAAATCTTTTCCTTGATCAAAAAACACGTACCATCGCTCTGACGCAAAGCAAATTTTCGTAGATTCATAATTATTAACTGCATTAAGAGGGTTAAGAATTTCACCTACAAAAGAAATCAGGATACGTCGCGTCCATACGATGTTAGTTTATTGTCAGCTGCTGTGTCCAGCTTTATAGGTATTTCGCCATGGGCCTGTATATATTGAGCAACCTGCCTCTGAGGTCTGTGTATAAGTGTTACTGTTATCAGGGAAAGTAGTTTTCTCGTGCCATTCAACAGACAGAGTGGCCTCACACTCTTGAGTGGCCCTTAGGTTTTCCTGGCTTTAAGAGCTTAATTCTAATGCCATCACGTGTGACTGTGTTTAGCTATCTTTATGCAAATTTTGCTGATAACGAAATTAACTTGCTCAAAAGTTTTTAAAAATGGTTTAATGAGTGATTATGGTGTGTGTATATCTAAAAATGTCCAGCTTATAAGTATAAGGTGCCCATTCTACTCCTAGCGGTTATTTGTGAGACAGCAGTAATATTATGAGAACAATCCTTTTCTTTACATCCAGCCAGAGAAGCTGTATCAGGTCATCATAAAGATGGTATGAGACCGGTAATCACTAATCGGAATCCGTCTATTCTGATTCATGGCTTAATAGAATAGACAGAAAACTGTAAGCAAGGTACATGTCTCCTGAATTCTTGAATGATGTTCCAAATCTTTTCCTAAATCGAAAAACACATACCTTCGCAGTTCGCTGTGAAGCAAGGGAAATTTTCGTCGATTAATATTTATTAGCACGTCGAGTCCATACGATGTTAGCACAGCTGCTGTGTCCAGCTTTACAGACATTTCGCCATGGGCCTGTATATATTGAGCAACCTGCCTCTGAGGTCTGTGTATAAGTGTTACTGTTATCAGGGAAAGTAGTTTTCTCGTGCCATTCAACAGACAGTGTCAAGAGTGGCCTCACACTCTTGAGTGGCCCTTAGGTTTTCCTGGCTTTAAGGGCTTAATTTTAATACCATCACGTATGGTTGTGTTTAGCTATATGAGTGCAAATTTTGCTGATATGCCAATGAAATTAACGTTTAAAAAGGTGTATCTTGAGTCCCTAGCGTATCGAGCAGATATAAATGCCCGTAAGACTAATTGAACTTCTACTAATAACAGTTATACGATCATTACAGTATTACACATTGCACTCAAATTAACCAAAAACCTGCTATATTTTGACAAATCCTGCAAGAATCAACATTTTTGTCCACCTTAAACTTTACTAAAAAACCTGCCAATTTAAGTTAAATCACGCAACAAATTGATTCGAATTATCTAACCTCACGTAGGATTTGCTACACGTTGTATACCTCTCGTGCACGCGATCAAAAGGGGTTGCAGCGGGTGTCATGAACGCATGAGATCTGTACTAAATCTGCAGCATTCGACTTTTTATTTAACGGAAAACCTGCCTTATAAGAACGAACCTGCTGTGTGTTAGTGGGTAGTGGAAAGATAAGGCAGGTTTTGTCATATTTTGTCATATTTTTACAAGTTATATCTTATATTCCTTTAATCATTTAAGATAATGGATAGAGCTGCAAAGCGCCTCGGCTACTCACTGCGTACTGCAGTTTATAAATTTGAATTAAAGGGTATGTTTTTGTTGTTGTTGTAGCTGAGCTTAATGTCTGATTGTAGCTTTTTTAGGCTGCTATAAGTATAAACCCCTCTGGGATACTGCTAATGAACGTGATAGAAAATAAGTTGCGGCGTTATTTTGTAAATAATCCCTGCACAGATTTAACAATCCTACTCCTCATTATCATCGGTTGTTTTCATTTCCTAGCAGAAAACCCGGGTTCAAATCCGGTCGGATGCAAGTCGGCCAGTTACCATGAAGCTGTGATTTCAGCTTCGGCTGGTGATACACAGTCTCTGGCTCGTAGGACTAACCCCCTACAGCTAGTATTGTGCTTTGGCACAGAGTGGCTTAGGGTTACTGAAAAGGAGATAAGCACCTCAGGCCATCCCAAAGTTCGGGGGAGACCTGCCCTTGTATCTTGTATTTTGTGTTTTCATTACGTTGAGTTACATTTCATCAGCTGTATCTTATTTTTAGGTCGGGATGAACATTTTTGACGCCTGATTTTTAGAGTCCTGTTTTTTTAAATATCAAAACTGACATTTATTAACAATATATCTACAGTAGCCTAAAGCAAAGAAGCTAAAATGAATATAGCAATAGCTATAATAGTGGCAATGGTGGCACGAGCTCAATCGCTTGATTGTTACCATGGGTGCAGAGACGTAAGTTTGGAATCAGGGGCTACAAATACCTGTGACTCAGACAGCGTTGATCAGGTATAACCAGCTAGCTGCTAGCGTATAAGCGTATGCATTTATTCCACTCAAGTATATTTATAATAGGTGGTCGTTCACATATATTATTACGTAATCAGCCGAGGGGGGAGGTGGTTTCCAAATGATTACGCTAGTGTAATCTTGATACACTAGATATGTGTAAAACTGATTACGGAAGGGGGAGGGGGGTCAAAAAAGTGATTGCGTAATATGAGAACGACCGCTAATATCTTACCATCTAAGCATCTAGGGCCAAAATTTAGTTGGGTATTATTTATTCGAATGTATATTTATTGATAGATTGTGTGATAAATTGGTGATAAATAATAAAATTGTCTTTTTTTAGTGTTCGGAGGGTGAAGTGTGCTCAGCTCTTGAGGTGACCTTTTATGAGGGTGCCAGGTTCGGCTATATGAAAAGTTATAAATGTATGAACCGGGCAGATGTGTGGGCAGACTTGGATACATGTAGGGAATCAAAATCTGAATTTGCCCATATTTTGAACGATATGACGGAGTATAAGTGTTCATATCAAACATGCGACTATGACTTGTGTATCTCACTTCAGTCACCAGGTAAGATATACATATTTTTCACAATTTATTTGACTAAAACCCATAATCATGGGTAGAGTGGATCGCAACAGTGTCTCTCTCTCTCTATCAAACAAAAGGAAATGATATTAATCTGAAAAACTGTCCGCAAATGCAGATTTATTATACCGAGAATGAAATCGGTCGCTCACTTTTCCGATTCATTTACAATTGTAATAGTTTAAAAAGCTTCGGGCGTGTCCTCACGTGTGCAACTTTTCGATTTTCAACATTAAAACTAGCCTGTTACACAGTTTAGACCTTCAGGAAGCAAATTAAGCTCCAAAACCCAAGGAATGGCCAAACACCAGAGAATAATAAATCACAACTTTTGTGTTTTTATAAAATTATTCTTCAAAAAAGCACTAGGTTCAAGGTAGAAAACCTTTCCGGTAGATTTTCAGAATGTTTGAACAAATATCTATAAATACTAACCTACAAATTTCCTCAGATTTTGAATAAAATTACTCCTTCATGGTGTAAAATTGATTTGAAAATGGAAAAGTTGTTGTTTTGTCAAAAATCAAGTTTGATTGAATGTATTTTCAGAAGAGCCTTGGTGGATAACTAAGCCTCCTATTACTGAAATTAGTGAGTTAACAAAATTATTGATCAGACCAACTGAGTCTATAAAAACGATTCGAGTCTTTTTATGTCTCACTACTTTAAAATGGAAGGCACGCTCATTTAATACGGCTGAAGATTTATTATAAACTAAACTCAACTTACTTTTCATTTCATCTCAACTTTCTTTATTTACAATTTTTTAAATCTAAGAACAGTAAACTAAAACAGCTTCATACTTAAAGATGACCCTTGTTGGTAGTAATCATCTCATCAATGTCTTGTCCTCAGATATACTCCTATAACTCTAGTTTCGTTTAAAGCAGACATACAGTAAGATGAAGCATCTTGCTTAATGGCTAGGGTTAGGGCTGGAGTCAGATTAGAGGGATAAGCTGATAAAGTTTTGAATAGTCACTAAGAAACACTTAGAGAACGTGTTAAAGTATAAGTCACGTGATTGTCGAGTGAATAAGAGTATAACTTTCGATCTTAATAGTTGAATAAGTTTTTCGAGTGATTCATGTTGAGCAAAACAACAGTCATGGACCAAATATTGGTTTTATGACGACAATTAACTGCCATACTTATTTATAATAACTGTTATCTAACTGAGTGGTCTTGTTAGTCACGAAATCAAGCCATTTAATCATCATGTTATGTTTCTAACCCTGTACGATGCATGAAGTGTTGCAAATTGTTGCCTCAGGTGCCTCACTGCCTCAAAACTGGTGCTTCAAGGGCCTCAAAGTTGTGCTTCAAGGGCCTCAGAGTGGTGCCTTGAGTGCATCAGTGCCTCAAAGCGTCACAAGGTTATCTGAAGAAACTCCAACGGGAGACGATTGTGTTGATAAAGCGGATTCAGCCACTGAAAAATCATATAGTTTCTCAAACAGTTATACTGCGTTATTAACACTGTCCACTGATCACTTGGTCGCCTTTACCGCGCCTGATTCACAAATACCCGATTTAATGCGCCCCAATTTATTGCAAACCCCAATATACCTCACTATTCACTATTGTAAGCGAGAAACTGTTCTTGTTTTTGCTATAACAATGTTTCTAAAAAGAATACCCAATGGATTATCTCCCACTCCACTTCCAGACGATTGTGTTGACAGAGCAGACAATGATGGATCAGAGTACAGGGGAAAGGTAGCTGTCACAGAATCAGGACACAAATGCCAGAAATGGGACTCTCAATCACCTAACATACATGGTGTAACACCATCGAAGTAAATTTTCTTGTTGCTTTTTAAACCGTTCTACACTTCTAAAGTTATCCAAACTTTTTCTTGTTGCTTCTTATTTGGATTTATTCTTTTTTATGTTTGAGACCATCATGGTAACTTTGCAGATGGTATATTGATAATAATCACTCTGTTTACCCACATAAGTATAATTATAATATTTTAGGAAAAGACCTCATCATAAAAACATTTTCAGGTACCCTAATTCAGGACTGCAAGAGAACTATTGCAGAAATCCAGACGGGTAAGTTTTCAATATCTGGTAGTGTTCCATAATTATTGTCATTAAGTCGACCACAAGGTATGGGCACAAACATTTATAAAATAAAATCTACACAAAATTGCAATGAAGATGGATTTGGAAATATAAATGATCTATGAAATTTCTTTTCTGAAATTTTCCATTTTAACAGATGTCATTATTTTCCTCAGTGAACCAGGCGCCTGGTGTTATAATGCTGAGGGAACTAGTCCTCGATTTGAGCTCTGTGCTATACCTACTTGCCCTGGTAAACGGTCTTTTGATGTTCAAACTAAATACTCATATAGCAGCGATGTGCGGCGTACGTGTATACAGAATCGAGTTAAATAGGTTATTGGTAACTCAAATCACTTACGGCTGCAGTTTGTGTACCTAGTCCCAGCTTTGCCACTAGAATATGTTTGAACATTATGAGGCTCGGCCACGCCCTTCTCAAATGAACTAGAGGTCTGAAAATGTCTGCATGGACTCTTGAGATAAAATCAGACAGCCACTGAAAAATAATATACATTCTCAAACAGTTACTGCGTTATTAAATATTAACACTGTCCACTGATTACTTGGTCGCCTTTACCGCACCTGATACACAGATACTGAGATACCCGATTTAATGCGTCCCAATTCACTGCAAACCCCAATATACCTCACTAATCACTATTGTAAGCGAGAAACTGTTCTTGTTTTTTCTATAACAATGTTTCCAAAAAGAATAACCAATGGATTAGCTCTTGTTCCACTCCCTGCAGAACCAGATTGTGTTGACAGTGCAGACAATGATGGATCAGAGTACAGGGGAAAGGTAGCTGTCACAAAATCAGGACACAAATGCCAGAAATGGGACTCTCAATCACCTAACATCCATGGTGTTACTCCATCGAAGTAAATTTTCTTGTTGCTTTTTAAACCGTTCTACACTTCTAAAGTTATCCAAACTTTTTCTTGTTGCTTCTTATTTGGATTTATTCTTTTTTATGTTTGAGACCATCATGGTAACTTTGCAGATGGTATATTGATAATAATCACTCTGTTTACCCACATAAGTATAATTATAATATTTTAGGAAAAGACCTCATCATAAAAACATTTTCAGGTACCCTAATTCAGGACTGCAAGAGAACTATTGCAGAAATCCAGACGGGTAAGTTTTCAATATCTGGTAGTGTTCCATAATTATTGTCATTAAGTCGACCACAAGGTATGGGCACAAACATTTATAAAATAAAATCTACACAAAATTGCAATGAAGATGGATTTGGAAATATAAATGATCTATGAAATTTCTTTTCTGAAATTTTCCATTTTAACAGATGTCATTATTTTCCTCAGTGAACCATTCGCCTGGTGTTATAATGCTGATGGAACTAGTCCTCGATGGGAAGTCTGTGATATACCTACATGTGGTAATTAACTGTGGTGAGTTCTGTAATTTTTTAAGGTCCAATTTATTACTTGTATTATAGTAGGGAACTGTGGCGTGTGCACTTTTTTGCACAAGGTTTTTTGCAATTGAATCGAGTTAAATAAGTTATTCTAACTTGTAATAAGTTATTGATAACTCAAATCACTTACGGCCACAGTTTGTGTAGCTAGTCCTAGCTACTTCATTGGAAGTTATTAATAATTTTGAACGGACATTAAAATGAACACCAAAGGTCAGTCAACATACATTGGCCTTTATAGCTCAGTCAGTGAGTGCCTGATTAAGATTATATTGTTATGACTTGCTATTATCACTCATTCGTGGAATATATCCAATCAAAGAAAATTCATGTTAATTTTTTCGAATGAAGATTCATTTTTGCAATTATTTGATAGATAATTTTAATAAAACAAATATTTAATAATATAAAACAAAGAGTATGCAATGTATGCAATGTTCCTACTTCCTGTAACATCACTGTAGACCGCTCTTCCATCGGTTTTTTTCAGTGACCAATCCAAAACCAAATCTTGAAGTTACACGAAACATGGAAGCCTGTGAGCAGGTCAAATCCTGGGGTTACACGAGACGTGGTAGTCTGTGAGCGTGTTAAATCCTGAGGTTACACAAGACGTGGTCAGTGGTAGCCTGTGAACGTTTCAAATATTGAGGTAATTACACGAGAAATGGTAGCCTGTGAGCGTGTAAACCACTCCTCTATCGTTGTTTTGAGCGTCCGATCCAAAATCATTTCCTAGGGTACACGAGAAATGGTAGCCTGTGAGCGTGTAGACTGCTCCTCTATCGTTGTTTTGAGTGTCCGCTCCAAAATAAAATCCTTGGGTTAAACAAGATATGGATTATGGGAGCCTGTGAGCGTGTTAGTTTCCTGCGGAAGGTGTTATTTGCATGTGGACAAATCAATTATGCTGAGGTTCTAAAATTAGTAGAGGCTATTAAGGCCTTTCCTTTGTTGTAGATATGGCTAGTCCCTTCCTTAGGTTAGAAACACCCATGCACCTCCTGTTCGAGCCATCCACCCCGGCCCACACCGCGTGGAAGTTCAGTGAGGTTTTTCGTGGGGCAAGTTATGAGGCATCACCAATAAAGCAATAACGAGTTTATTCATTACGTGTGATCGACCTTGCTAAATCACTCTACAGTCGATCTTCGAGATTTTAAAAAAAGTTTAAACCAAATTGAATAGATGTATTTTCGGAATCACCCCTATGACATAGGGTTAAAATGCTCCCCTGGCGAGATATTGGCAAAAAACTGTATAGATCACGTGAAATGATCGTATAAGGAAGTTGGTCTAATTTCTCGTTAGGGTTAGGGTCTTAGCATATACTTTTGCATGGGATTTGGTTAGAGTTCGGGTTGGGATCAGATTAGAGGGTCGAATAGTCCTTCGGGGCCAGCTATATAATATTAGAGAACAGATTGAAGAATAATAGAGAACAAGTTTTAAAAAGTCACGTGACAGTGGAGTGTATAGAATAATCAATCATTTGCATCATCCACGTGTGATCAGGTGATTGGATTGACAAAAAAGCTTCCGTTATTTTTTCTCCGGCAAAATATTTGGAGTTGAAGTATCGCATCGGTCATATTTGGTTTTTGTAATGATCAATTTAAGTTACGGTTATATTTAAAATGTTTATATCTAATTGTCGAATAAATATTTGCAGGTCATCAGTTAGCCAGACAACTAAAAAGGAGCTGATGTACAAGAAGTTCAAACGAAAAGGATTATACAATTTAAATTTAGTGACTGAAATTTGCAGCAACTGGACTGTTTAAGTTTTTTTGAACTTCATTGTTTTCATATTATAAAGTCTTTATGCATATAATTTTTTGGAGCATCAAACGTCTTTAAATCAGGATATACGCATATTATTATTATATATGTTTACTAGTATGTTATTTAATAAAGGGATATACTCGTAAAATATTTATTTCAAATATTCAAGAACGTCGACGATTTCAACTCGGCGCGTTTTGTTAATAGTAGATTATAAACCTAAAAGTACAATATGTTATACTACCTTATGATATATTTTAATTTGTCTTAAAACTGCATCATTATTTTGAGTGGGGTAAACCATGATTCCAAATCAAATTATTCAGACTTCAGGTTGTTAAGTTTATTAAGTTAATAGGCCACACCCTTTTTTTACGCTCACGCAAGTAGCAGTTTAAATTGGCCAGTTGGTAGATCACCGACCGGCTATAAGCCGGCTACTAACCGGCTATAAGCCGGCTTAGAGCCGGCTACAATTTTTATAGCCGGCTATAAGCCGGCTTATAGCCGGTTAGTAGCCGCTTACATTTGTTGTTGAGCGACGGCTATCAGCCGGTTATAAGCCTGCTATTAGCCGTTTTGGTATTAAAAGTGGTTATAAGCCGGTTATAAGATATTAACTCAACTACATCGTACTGAACGATAGTCAGGAGCCGGCTATAAGAAATTCAGTGAAAACGGCTATTAGCCGGTTATAAGCCGGCTATTAGCCGTTTAGGTATCGAAAGTGGTTATAAGCCGGTTATAAGATATTAACTCAGTTCAGTACGATGAAGTTAAGTTAATATCTTATAGCCGGCTTATAGCCGGCTTATAACCACTTTCGATACCTAAACGGCTAATAGCCGGCTTATAACCGGCTAATAGCCGTTTTCGCTGAATTTCTTATAGCCGGCTCCTGACTATCGTTCAGTACGATGAAGTTGAGTTAATATCTTATAACCGGCTTATAGCCGGCTTATAGCCGGCTTATAACCACTTTCGATACCTAAACGGCTAATAGCCGGCTTATAACCGGCTAATAGCCGTTTTCACTGAATTTCTTATAGCCGATACCTAAACGGCTAATAGCCGGCTTATAACCGGCTAATAGCCGTCGCTCAACAACAAATGTAAGCGGCTATTAACCGGCTATAAGCCGGCTTATAGCCGGCTATAAAAATTGTAGCCGGCTATAAGCCGGTTTATAGCCGGCTTATAACCGGCTTATAGCCGGTCGGTGATCTACCAATTTCCCTTTAAATTTAATTAATCCACCTCTTAAACACCGGGTTGGAAGTTGTTTAGTCGGGAATGTTATAACCAGCTCCTTGATTACTAACTTTTAAGTAACTTTACAATACATCATGGGGGGGGGGGGGGGGGAGGCGCTGTTTGAATGTGGGACAATTTTTAAAACAACGCGTTACGCCACTGACCCCAACTATCTCTATACCTGGAGATGCCGGAATTACAGACTCAAGAAATGTCCTGCTCGTGTATTGGAGAGTGAGCAACTGCAAAGGTTCAGGTCATTAACATTGCAATGTGCTGTGCGTGCAGAAGAGCGTCACGTTATGAGCCATTTATTGAACTTCGTGACTCAATTCGAAGCTGCTTTTAATTTGGAGCGATAACACAATATATAGAGAAAATATATAAAGAAAATGATTTGAGCCGCATGAAAAATGAATTTTGACAGGATCTCCGCAGGTTAGTAGCGGAATGACACGTGCTTTGCTCAAGGCGTCCACCGCACGAACACCCGTGTGGAATATTTAGTTAAGTTATCTAAGTATTAAGAAAAAGGACCTCGGTCAAGAACTATAAGCCGTCGCCGAAAAACAAAGCACTATACCTGCATATAGTCTATATAACTCTCATCGCATTCTGAATCTAAGATTACCTTTCTCTCGTTTCATATTACTGTAGACTCCTTTCGATGGGGGCATGATTGATTTGAGGAGTAACTATAAATAGCAGAGCTCATTTTTAATTTTACCATTCATTTTTAACTTGCGTATCGGTTATATTATTAAAAGGTTAGAGTTGGTTTTATCAAAATGACACGCCTCGTTTCTATCACCCTTCTGGGATTGATTTACGTGCTCTGCGCTAGTGGTAAGTTTAAAGTTAAGTTAAAATTTAAGCTTCAAGCTTCGTTGTTTGTTTTTATTATATATGAGTCCTTATAGTTATAGTTATACAATATATGAGTCCTTATACAATGTATGAGTCCAAAAATGATTTTCGAAAAATTTGGTTATTACATCTAATAAGCCCTTGCTATGGCATTCAAAAACATTTTTAATGATCTGGTGGTATATCTATTCAGAAATATGCCCAATAAAAACTTGAGCAAAATATCAATTCTCAATTCTTTCTTACAGCGCAAAGTGGTGTTAACTGGCTTCCTTTCTCCGTCTCGGAACAAGCCGTCGTCTCCACAGACTTTTCTAACTTAGCCGTGGAGCGGTTCTACGTCAAGCTCCCTTGCGAGGGATCTGTTTGGTTCAAGCTCTTCCTCAGACGTGCTGATGGTGCCAACTCCCATGTCGAGCTTTATAGTAAGGTGAGTTATCCTTTAGTCATGAACCACCTTGCATGATTTATTGGCTTTCGTCATTCACATTTGTGAGGTTAAGTTCTTTTTTCAGGTTCGTTTGGACTTAAGGTTCCCATTTTAGGCTTATTTCATATTCATTTAGATAAGTTCACAAGTATATGTACTAAGATTGAGATTTGCCTGGGTATAAGAATGTAGGAAAGCAATGATTAGCTGGATTTTTACTTTGGATTTCAATCTTTACCTTGGTTCAATAATTGTAGTCGTTACGTGTAGTTTTACCTCTAGGTAAAAGGAAACATTTATTGTAACGCTGCTGGTGCGAGGAACTGGTATGATGGGGAGAAAACTGATTTCACCATGGAGGATGGGGCAATGAAATGTGAATCTGGCGACAAAAACATCATCCTTGTGTGAGTTTGGAATGTGGAGACCTTGTGAAGACACTATAAATGTTTTTATATCTCCCAAATAATGCTAAAATATATGCTTAAATTTGTTTTTTAATGTCAAAGTGTGTTTTACATATTAAATTTTTAAATCTTACTCACTGATCTAAAACAATTACCAGGGTGGAGAAAACAGCTGACAGAGTAACTATCAAGAACAAAGGACAAGTTTTGTACAACAAGGCTTTCTCTGACAATGATGCAAACTGCCGTCAAGCTACCACGACCGTCAAAACACAAGTTTGGAACTACGATGACAGCCTGGGTCTCGCTGTCTTCGATAACTCGGCTCCACGTGAGTTCTGTTGCTTTTTTTGTTAGCTGTTTTTCGTTTGTTGTGGAAGTTTTGAATTAGTTCAGGTTATTTAAATCAAAAGAATAGAGCAGCTGAAGCCATAACATTGTTGACTTAAGCTGCTCAATATTTTTAACCTTGCTCATCGTTCTCAATTACAACTCGATCTTGTTATTGTATTTTTCAATACCATGTTTATTCAATTGAGTAATTGATAATCCTGTTTCCCCAGTCAACCTTGTGAGTCAAGAAAGCTGTTTTGTCCAGGACTTCGACTACCAAGGAGCTGATATCAAGAAAATAACAAACGTCGACTCTGCTGAATCATGTCTTGCAATGGTTTGTACAATCTTTAAACTTTTTTCAATTTAAATAAGTTTTAATTTTAAAAGAGTCATAAAAGCTTATACAGAAAATATTCATAATCTTCCCTTACTATTCTTACTTTTTTCTCAAAATTATGGTTTTAAAAACACAATCACATACTTTCAGTGCGGAAAACAAGCAGGATGTCTGTCGATGACGTACTATGGCACCGACTGCTGGTTGAAGAACCTCATGTACGGTCAGAACCCCGCCCCAAAAGTTGGATGTGTCAGCGCTAACCTCGCCTGTCAAGGTAGGACTAGTACATTTTTTTTTAAACGTGACAAAAATGAAAAACAGACCAATCAGCTTTGATTATTGCCCGATCAAATCCCAAATTCACTGTCAAAAATATGTCTCACACTCTCACCTCCCCACCAGAATCAACATCTTTTAATGAAGTTAAAATAAACTGATAATTTCAGGTGCAATGCTGATGAACAACAACTGCGTGAAAACAAACTTCGACTTCTGGGGAGCTGACATTAAGAAGGTCTCTGGTGTTTCGTCTGTCATGGAGTGTGTTGAAGAAGCCAGGTCAGATCTCTGTCAGTATTTCAGCCATTGTACAATTTCAATTATTCCATAATTGTTGCACGAAAGAGAAAAGTCATTATTTTTTATTATATTCATTATTTTTCGTACGCAAATATATCTGAAATCCCTTTTAACATACCTCTGACCCATAGCGTCCATACTTAACTGTACAAAAAGTGATGTTTATTTAATATTTCATTGACAGTAAAGATATAAACCCCACAGGAAAACCCAAGATGCAAAGTCTGTGGCGTTTGTTAAGGTCAATGGAGACTGCTGGGTCAAGTATTCGGAGAACGGAGCCAGACCTGAAGATAACGATCGAGTCGATAGTGTTGCTTTATCTTGCCTCGGTATGTATTTAAACCCAAGGATATATTTCTCTGTGTGAAATGAATATTTTGGAGCCGTGCGTTGTGTTGTAGGTTTATAACCTTCGCAACTCATCGACGATCTTTCAATATTTCATATAAATATTTTACGGGTATCATAACAAGATTTTTCTGGAGTATCCCAGCACCTTTACTAAGCTATTCTTGTATTGTGTTCTATGGGGCATATGTGATGTTCTTTAAAAGTCTAAACTTTAACTGAATTGCAAATAAAGCTCCCAACCGACATCATCCACTGTAAAACTCAGATTCTCGTTCACTTTAACTCAGACGGAGTAGCAGCTCAAGTGTCGTCTGGTAATGACTGTGTTGATGAAGGAGTTGACTACTGGGGTGCTGATATTAAGAACGTTAACCCCATCTACACTATCGAGGAGTGTGAAGCGCTCTGCTACGTAGAGGACAGTTGTGTTTCACTTACTCACAGGTTGAGTGGCTGCAGATCTTTTGTAGAAATGCTAAGTGTCTCATTTTTCTGAGTTTTGCTCCCAACCAATGTTTTTATGGCTGAAATAAAGTACCACCCCTTTCAGACCATCGACTCAGGACTGTTGGTTGAAGAGC